GCTGATCACACTCAAAGTCTGAAACCCTGTGCACAACATAACTCACTTGGCTCTTACACAGGGCTAAGCCAAAGCAATCAGGCCCTGCCCAAACCCCCAGGCTGACTCCCCCAGCGTACGCCACAGCTTTCCTCTTACCTTTGCCATTTCCACCAGGGATGGCCCAAACCCACACCAGCAGAAGGAGGAGCCCACTCAGCTGCCAGCCCAGCACCCTGTGCTACACACACACCACGTGTGCTGCCCCTGGAAATCTTAACAGTCCATATTGTACTGCGAGACTACTACAAAAACCCTTCATCTGCACAACGCTTGGAGTTGCACGTTATCACAAAGCCTTGAAAAGGTTCATAACGTATGTGGTGTTGCCGAGGAAAGGAGTCACAGTGAGAGCAGCTTGACACAGCTCTGGGATATCGCTCTGCGACAAGAAATCAGCGTATCAAAACGCTTTTACACATTGCAGCCCTGGACAACTCAGAACCATGATTCATTAACCTCCTCACAAACACCCCCAGCTAATCAGAGCTCTTAATACAATAAATTTTCCCAGTTAATTGGGGAAGGGAAGGAAAGTCATGGTCCAGGAGTGGCTTTGAAGATTGATTCATGCACATCAGCTTCCCATTAATGCTACGGGGAAACTGGTATGAAAGTCACCCACGAAGGGTCTGCCCTGACCGACCCATCAAGACAGCCCTCTGCCAAGCTGGCCTTTAGCTAAAGCTGCTAAGAGAAGTCTCAGAGAAATCCGAAATGACAGCTCAGGGAAGAGATTAGTTTCAGAAATGATTAAGTGTGTGTTCCTTATTTTTAGGTTTTGTTTTGTAATTGTTTCCAAGTATGTAATCAATTATTTAACTCTTTGGTTTGCTAAAATAAAATAAGCTTTAGAATAAAGCTTAAATATAAGCTTTAATCTAGTATTACAAACCGTACAGGTGCCTGAAGCTGGAATAAGCGGGGCAGTCTCAGAGGATGATGCTTACGTATCTGTTTGAAGCCTCGTACTACTGCACACTGGCAAAAGGGGATGCCATTACCGGGGCTGTAATATCATCTTTCTGCTGACCACCGATGACTCTAACCCCAAAGATGGAGGAAGAAATTAAAGCTCTGCTTGAATGAACCTTGCCCTGCAGCTAACATGGGAGTAGCATGGCGCGACCCAGCAAAGTCGCGAGATGCAGCATGGTCAAAGACACAAGGGACAGCGCCCAGGGACGACAGGCCCCAGCTCCTCAGCTGGCTCCATGGAGCAGGCCATGGCATTCACAGACACCGACATCCCAATAACTGCAGACAGACTCCTCTGATCCTCTGGCTGCTTCGGTAATTAACTGCAATTTGAACTGAGCTCTGCCCCGCTCCTTTGCTAATCCTAAATTAATCATGTCGTAAGGTTTTTCCGCTTTTTGTAACCACAGTTGTGTGAGCGAGTAACAAATCCTGCTAATTGCAAAGAAAATGGTTCATTCGCCTTACACCTAATCCAGCTGGAGCTGCGCCAGAGCCAGCCCAGCCAAAAGGCCCAGATATTCCAGGGTAGCACCCCGGATCCGTCAGGCTGGACCCTAGCATGCCCGGAAATGTTATGGCCCTGAAGCTGTTGGAGAATTTAACATTGAGAGGATGCAACATATGCAGGACAGTTTGCACAACTCCCCCTTTAAGCTTATTAGAAGCACATTAAGAGCAGAGCCCAGCTGGCTCCTCTGGCTGGTCACAGACGGGGCTTCTCTGGGTTAGCAGTAAGCGTGCTTTTGCCACAGAGCCACATCCTGCATCCCCACCCTCCCAGCCTGAGACTTTTAACATTTGGTCGTTTACCAGTTGTACCTAGGGGAAGAGGAAAGCCCAGCTGTGCTTCCTGATGCAAAAGCAAAGGCTTTCCCTAGACCCAAATGCCAGAGCAGAGCTAACAGCCTGCCCGCACGCTGCCTGGTCAACTGGTGGCAACCACAAGCAGCAATTTGGCTCCACAGAGACCCAGCTCTTCCAGGCCTGAAGGGTGAGCAGATTTGCCCAGCGTATCAGGAACCATCAAAGAGCTCCACAGCAAGCAAAGCAAGCATGAGACGGCAAACCCTGGCTCCAAAAGAGCCTCTGCAAGATCAGCACACCCCAATCACGTGCAGGGCTGCCAGGGCCCTCCCAGGTGTGAGCACGGTGCCCTGCTGCCACAGGCAGCCGTGCTGCGGACGCCTTTTGTAGCTGGATGCATCCTGTACTCCGTGCAGTAGCTAGCATTCTGCTTCTCCCCACACAAGCTGGAAGGCCATTCAGAAACATGCAGGCTACTCATGGTGCAAGCATTTCAAAAGCACACGTCCCTGCAGTACCAAGCCCTCCTCTAACATGGTTTATCCTGGGCTTTGTTTGCTGAAGCAATGTTAAAACATGGCCAGAGCACCCCAGGTCCCGGGGCAGCACACAGCTTAACCACAGTCCCTCCAGTGCGAGCTGCTGCGTTACTGGCCCATAAGTTTGGATAAAGATGAATTATCCTCCATCTGGAACAACAAAGGACATGCAGGGCACCAGGACGTTTCTGCTGCAACCCCAACACCAACTCCCCCTTCAACTTCAAACTGACGCACCACAACTTTGGGCATCAAAACCAGAATTGCTGAAATAGGGCATCGTGTCTGCCCCGACTCAGCATCTCCAAGGGAGAGGTTGGGGCTGGGGTAGCCATGAACTTCTCTCCCACGGTCTGGTCCTTCCTCCTCCCTGCAGCACCCTCCGCTCGGAGCAGAAGATTGGAACAGTATCACATTGGTATTTCTGGCAATCTGTCTTTAAGAGCTTGCTGTGGTGCATGGAAATGAGAAAAGACCACAGAATGACCCAAATAATCATTACATGTTAAGAATCAGAAAAATATTCTTGTATCTTTGCTCTCAGCGTTAAACCCACCAGGTGGAAAACCAAGCTCAGGAAGGGGTGCTGCAAAATATTCCGAGGTAATAAGATACGATATGCTCAATGTGGATGTACTGTATACCTGCATCCCCAAACGCACACCGAGGATTTCGGGTGCAGAGCATTTGCTGGCTCCCACGTACCCAGCAGGACAGACAAGCCCTTCCCATGGGAAGGCATTACCCGTGGCTCATCGCAGTGCCTGGTTTGTGTTCGGCATGACCCATCCGCACGCCCTGTGCTACCCTCGTACCAGCAAGTCTCATAGCAGGAGGGGAACAAAACATTTTCATGCATTTCACGTCTTCCCTGTGCTCCAGAACACGCTGTCCCATGGTTGCAAGAGGCAGGCAACAACCAGCTCCGCTCCCAACCCAGGTCTGAAGCCGGGTGACCAGCTCAGCCTTCCCCGCGCCCTGGGAGCGCAGGTGCTTACCAAGAGCCGTGCACCGTCCACGCCGGCCAGAGCGATGCCACATGAGGTCTGCACACCCCGGGAGCGAGGGTGCGTGGTGGCCATGTGCCTGCAGCCCCCCCAGACAGCAGGGACATGCAGGCCACCATAAAGCAAGCACGCAAAGTGCTTAATGCGGCCATCGCTTGGATTCACCATCTAACTGCTGCTCCTCCGAGTACGCTGGCCGTACGCTTCAGTGCCTGCTGCACAGCTCTTCCTGCTACAGGCAGGGGATTTATGGGCCTGGGCAGTGAATCACGCTGCTGCAGCCCATCAGAGCACCTCAGCTCCGAGAAGGGGACCCAAGGGCCCCCCCCAGCACCAGCAGCCCCTCTTTCAGCAGAGCCTCCATAACCCCTTCCCGAGGGCTAACAAGAAGTCCCTGCAGGGCTTTCCTCCCGCCCTCCTCTCCACCCTGCTCACCACACACAGGCCCACGGGGCTGCCTGCACACACCAACACTCACAGCCGCATCCTTCCTCTCCAGGGCTCGTCACGCCACGCAGCCCTGGCCTGCGACACGAAACCGGCTCTAACGCCACGTCGCAGAGTGCTCCGAGGCAAAGAGGAGCACGGCCGGACACCCAGGCCAGCCCCCTCCTCCCTGCCAGCACCCTTCTCCCCTGCCCGACCTGCTGCCCGCAGAGAAATGGCTCAAAGGTCCCAGGACATGTAAAAAGGCCTTTTTAGGGGCAGCAGGGCAGGCCACCCCTGGGCATTGCTGGGACCGGGCTGGCCGGAGGCACATGTCTTCTCCCAGCCCGGCGTGCTGCAATCCCCACGGGTCCAACGCAGCCACCAACGCGCGGGGCAGCTGCCTGGTCCCCAGCG